CTCATCATTAGCATCTTGGTAGCTTTCAATGAGATGTTCCATCACTATGCACCTCAGGACGCCCCAATCATTCGCCGTGATTGGAGTCCTCAGCGTCTCTGGAGTGAAAGTTTCACCCTCTCTCAGCTGATACAGGGCCAGCTCGCCGGTTGTATACTGAAACACATACCCGACATACCCTGACAATAATTTCAACTCACCACGAAGCGAAGCATTCGGTGGCTTTTGAATTCTGCACAGTTGCATGATGACTTTTTTTGGAGCTCGAGACAAGGCTGATTCCTCCTTGGGGGCGGGACAACGCTTCTGATTGGATAACTTTTCACCTAGAACTGTCAAATTAATTCTGATGAAAGCCGGTATCTATACTGTGTGTCAAGTCCTACAAAATAGCACTGGATCGATAGCTGTTATTGGTAAAATATAAACATCACTGAGAGCTGTGACATATTTTTTTATCATATTTGGTTGGAAAACATGTTTTTGTGTAAAGCTGGCTTTAATTGTAAGGCCTTTTACAGATAAATATCATGGTTAGTTCAAGAAAGCCTGCAGTATAGAAGCACTTAAAACTTGGAGAAGCAGAAGCAACTTTGTTTATTTTCTGTGAAATTTATGGCCAATATATTACAAACTGTCCTGACATCTCATCATTTAGGACTACTCTGCTTACTGTCCCCAGAGCTGAACCTGAATGAGAAGGGCATTCAGCTTTTATGCACAACATATGGAACAAATTCCTAAAAGAAAATTACCTTCAGGCTACATATCACTTAAAATCAAAGGAAAACACCACAGCAACCTGTACGTCATACCTTCAAAATCCAGGATGTCACATAATACCAATTAATATGACATGTAGGTAACGGCACCAAACAAAACAACAGCTCCAATAAAAGCCTCAAACTAAATGACAAGAATGTGCCTTCAGAGACTAAAAGCAACAGTAACTGCAGGAGCTGTGTGCTGTGTTTTTGACATGTTTACTATCTGGCAACCAAAGAAACCACAGAGAAGGATCTTTAACCTTATCATGCTTCTCATACTTTTATATTTAAAAAATGCAGTGCTTTCCTCATTTCTCCGTTTACACACCAGAGATTTTATCATTTAGTATTTTGGTAAATTTACACACTTTCCAGGAGGGTCTCGGTATTTTGGATGGAAATGAATTTGTCGATCAGTCAAGCGATGCTGCACCTTCATTTAACTAATCCACCAGTCCAATCTGTCATTTTTCTGGCAGAAGTTAGATGTCTGTGGGGCTGAAATCTCTCAGTGGTCACAGAGCTCTGGTTTACTTAAGTACTGCAGCACAGGACTTGGCATGAGTTTTAAAAGGCTAGTCTGCAACTTTAAATTGGCTGTGGAGAAACCTGGTGGTCAGCATGGTATCAGATAATGACAATAATGAGGAAGAGAAAAATGTCTCCATTGTTCTTAATCTCCTTCTGACTATCTGCCTCTCAAACAGCACAGAGCTCAGACAGCCAGGAGGAAATAGAACCACCACTGGGCAAATGAGAGATATTCATCCACATCCACAAATAATTAAAGCAGCCTAATTTGAAATTACATTTTTTTAACATAATGACCTTTTACCAGTGTAGGTGGTACATTAAGTCTCTCAGTTACTGCACTGTCTGATAATTTATATTCATCATGAGCAGCAGCCTGTCTGCTCTTTCAACAATTGATCTTAATGTCTTTATTTAAATGTCACTAAGTCAATGAAAAATCTAAGAGTTAAGCTAATATTGTGACCGCCTCACTTCCTTACTACCACTCAGGACTTTGAAGGGTTTAGTTATACAGATTGAGAGTAAGCCAGGATGGACTCACAGGATGACAGGCAGAATCTGGGGGAACCAAACTGACTGAGAGTAACATAACAAAAAATAAGCAAAAGCTCCACAACTGGCCTGAAGGCTGCAATGTTTCTCCTTCTTACAACTTTTCTTCTGCTACAAGACAAGAAAGGAAATCTGCTCATCACCCATGGCGTTTGCTTTTTTCCTCAGGCCCAGTAGAAATACAGATTCTCCAGACAATGAGACTAGTACAGTGCCTTGCGAAAGTATTCGGCCCCCTTGAACTTTGCGACCTTTTGCCACATTTCAGGCTTCAAACATAAAGATATAAAACTGTAATTTTTTGTGAAGAATCAACAACAAGTGGGACACAATCATGAAGTGGAACGAAATTTATTGGATATTTCAAACGTTTTTAACAAATAAAAAACTGAAAAATTGGCCGTGCAAAATTATTCAGCCCCTTTCAGTTTTTTATTTGTTAAAAAAGTTTGAAATATCCAATAAATTTCATTCCACTTCATGATTGTGTCCCACTTGTTGTTGATTCTTCACAAAAAAATTACAGTTTTATATCTTTATGTTTGAAGCCTGAAATGTGGCAAAAGGTCGCAAAGTTCAAGGGGGCTGAATACTTTCGCAAGGCACTGTATCTAGATTAACAAATATTTCAAATCACAGTGTTCTATGGCTTAAAAAACAGGCTTTGAGCCAAGCCTGCAAGTATTTTGTGGCACCTCAAAAAGACCAAGTTCAACTACAGAACGGCATCACGTAAGGGCAAATTATTCATAAAGAGAATCTCAAAGTCAGTGGAGAAGCAACCTTTTGTGCATCTTGAGAAACATGCTAGAAGCTAAGAGTCAGTTAGATATTTTTGAAAGCTTACAGTGTTTGTACTTCACTAACATTTCTGAGTAAATTGTACTTGTTGGAACAGATTTAATGCAACATACTTTTTACTCTTACTCAAGTAATCTTTGTGAAGAAAATCACTCTCTCCTTAGTTTCTGATCACAGTGATATAGCCCTAAACATTAAATGAAGTTTTGTGATCACAGTAAAGATGAAGACTAGAAATGTTGTCCTACAACATGTAAACAATCTAATTTAAAAATGATGTGAAATTACATCACATTCACTGTAAATAGATGTTTTTTACTCCTGAATTTATTCACTTAAGTATTTTTCAGTAAATACTTAAGTGCTCTTACTCAAGTAATTATTTTCATTTACCTCTTGGTTTTTTAAATAAAGTAACAATACTTTAGAATATACTTACTACTTAATATTTTAGACTTTTCTTCCAGGCACTAGCAGTCTCTAGGCCAAGAACTAGATGAAATCGAGGACAGCACCCCCTTCCTTGTGCATTAAAGACTGTATGAACACAAGATTTTCTTCTACATATTGGTTTGTTTGCAGAGGAATATGAAACAAATGTGATGCCGTGTTCTAATTAGGGAGCTTCCGGCGTGATCAAAGGTGGATTCTGATACCTCTGGGCAGAGCCAGGTTAGCTATTTATGCTAAGCTAAAATAATCTGCTCCATCACATTTGCATACAGCAAGTGTTACCCCTTAATGCTTGATGTTTTTATATTGTAAATAAAAGTAGAGCTTATTTCAACACATGCCCAATGCAAAACATGATTAAGATTGGAAAACAGACAAACAGCTTTTGTCCAAATTTTGTGCACACAGCAAATGTTGTAGTATCTGTGCAGAAGGCTCCACATTTTGTTGAATTTATTCATCTTTTTTCCTTGTTGTATAAGTGCCAAAGCTTTTTGGCAGTGTGTTCCTGTTTAATGTCCCTTGAGAGGACACGGTAACCTTTGTGCTTTATCAAATTATTATTTTCCCATTAACTTCAGTCAGTCACAACAATGCTGTAAAACCGTATAAGAAGCATTTTAATCAAGCATGTTGGCAGGATGGCTTGTGTCTGCTCATTCTTGTAGAAGCAGAATTGATTGAATAAGATGGAATTTAGCTGCACTGGAAATTATGTGAGTTACCAGGAAAAAGGTCACTCAACAAAAATAGCCTTTATTGATGGGTAAAATCAATGATTTTAAGGCAATGGCAACACTGAAACCGACTGGCAGACTGAGTGAATGGAAGCATATTTCTGAACTTGGCTGCAGGTTTACAATATGTCTACAAATGCATATAAATCAGTACAGGAAATGAGAAATTAAAATAATGGGTTTTAGAAATGACTGTCACTGCCTTTGGCTGGATCACCGGACTTCACATCTTCAGATTTGGAGCCCTGCTGAAATAAACAAGCACAATGTCAACACAAAGTTTCATATTTGTTAGGGATTAAAAAAGAAGAAGAAGAAAACATGGCCATGATGTATTGGTATACATGCAGCATGACCAAATGATACATAACATAGACCTGGTCTTGTAGTTTTCAACATTGCTTAGAAAAAAGTCTATTGATGAGTGATGATAAAATGCAATACTACCCACCCTGACATAGCTTCATATTTTGTGTACATACACGAGAGTGGTATCAGTCTTCTTTTAGTCTCAACAACAAAGCAAATAAGGGCATTATCCAAGATGTAAGCATCTAGTATATAAATGATAGTACTGATTCTTGAATGCCAACCAGATGTTAGTCTCACCTTGGACTTGAAGAAGAGGTTAATGACGCCCTTTGAGCGTCTGTCTGCCGTTCGGTCAGAGGTCCCACAAACAGACATGCTCTTACTGTCCCTTCTGGCTCTGGCACTGTCCACCTCCTCTGCACCTCCCACAACTGCCAAGGAGAGACCTAGTGACAGAACCAACTGAGGATTTAGTGGTCATCCCTCACTGATCAATTTAGAACAAAATCTCAGTCCTTTCCTTCCTTCTTTGTGACTAATTGTACTGCAGCTGCTCTGCTGATGAATCATGTACTCTGGCAACAAAGGTGGCACTATGTGTCTGTTCAGAGAGGCTATGCAGGCTGTAGTCAGCTTTGCTAAACAGAGGGACTGTATTAACACCACAGCCTATGCTGGTTCAGCTGGCATGGTCCAACGTGGCAGGACGCCAGTGATGCATCAGTGAATTGTAGGGTGATGTAAATGAAACGATGAAATGTCAGGTAGATGAAACTGCTGCCCAGTTCTGAAAAATTACATCTGACATGATTGATTCACTTATTTGCTACCTTACATTAAAATCTGTGTTAGGCCAGAGGGTTAGAGCTGCATACCCCAGCTCGCCAATTTGTTTTCAACATATGCTCGACAACAAATTTTCCTCCATGTCCTTGTCTTTACAGTCAGCTTCCCAGAACTGAAAGAAACAATTTCTCTCAGGAGTTTGTACTTTGTGGGCTTGGAGGTTATAGGTGCACACAGCACACTATGCGGCACCACATGGATTTGTGTGTGCTTGTCACCTGTGATGGCAGGCAGGGATCTAGAGTTGGCATTGGTCAACAATACATTTCCTTCATTTGGCTCAGACAGGTTGGTGTCACTGCGGAACTCCTGCTTCTTCGACAGCTAGAGGGAGACAGAGATCGCTCAAAACTCAGCAGCAACACTTCCCACAGATTTTCATCATTGTTATTACCTGCTTCCTTTCCAGTTCTTCCCCCTCTCTTCTCCTAACCCATGATTATCATCCAACTAAAGCTCCTTCTTACCCGTTTACAGTCCAGCGTATTTGTCCTCTCTCTTTCCTCTGTGATGAAGATCATGCTGCTTCTCTTCTTCTTCTTCTTACTTTTCCTCAGCTTGACCTCTGCTTCGCCCACCATCACCACACCCTCCTCCACTGTACCTACGCTCACGCTGCCACTAGAGCGTTGTAGGGTGGGTGTCCATGAAACGGGTGACTCAGGGGCGAGGTCCCTGGGTGGAGGAAAAAAGAGTGAGTAGTAGTAATGAATTCTGGGGTTCTCTTGACACTCTCAGGTCACTAGATAAATGTATCTGTCAACACATATAAGTATGCTACCTGTCTGCATGGGGCTTGGTGGGAGTCCCACATTCAGATCCCTGCAGCGAGGAGACTGAAATGATAGACTGCCGAATGGAGCGCAACATGGAGCGAGGACGAGTGGATTTCCTCACATCCAAATCCGGCTGTGTGAGAAACAGTAGGACAGAGAGATGAATGATATGTAGATTAAAAAAGGAGTACTGTGCAGCGATAGTGACAGTGAAACGAAGCAGAAGTGCATCATTAAAAAAATACTAGAACAAAAGACAGAGAATGTACTCCTAAAAATTACATATCATCACTACCACTCATCATTAGTTTAATCTCTCCTGAAGGGCAGAGTCAATTTACAAGTTAATGACCATATCTAGCTCCACTTAGAACATTACAAATCCTGTTCTAGTTGTAAAAAAAATTAAAGGTACAAATCCTATATCAGTTTTTTGAGTATTTTGATCTTTCTAATTCAACTGGGTCATCTTATTTGGGAGCTCTACTGCAGTAACTCTGTGTCCACTCTTACAGAACAGAACATATTTTGGATTACAGAGAAGAGATACCGTGTTCCCCTATTTTTTCTCTCTTCTCCCTCCCCCATCCTTTTAACCCAGTTCATACCAGCTCTCTCACTCCATACTCCTTCTCCACTTTCTTTTTCAGCTGTTTGAAACACTCCTCCATGCGATCGTGGAACGGACGCAAGTCATCGGTCACTCTCTTCCCATGGAGCTTGATTCCCCCGCCTAGTAACGGGATCTATAAATACAAACGCTATAACATCAGCAGAATGTCCCTGTAAAAGCAATTCAGCTACTTGAGGTAGTGCAGAATGTGTGTTAGCATGTTCAGTACCTGCCACGCAATGAGATCTTTGAGGAGCAGCAGTTTATCTCTGTCCTCTGGGTGCTGCTGAGTGTACTCTTCAGTAAAGAAGGCCTGATAGCAAGGAAATATTAAACTTGTATATGTACAATTAAACTCTACTGTTCATATACTATTACAAAAACAAAGAAATGAAAAAGTTAAAGGTATAAGAATGTGAGAAACTTTATTAGTAACTCCTGACTGGTCAAATAACACGTTGCATAGTAGATGTAATATCATTAATCAATCAATCAATGGTTTAAACCGTGATCATTAATCTCCACGGATCCAAGAAAGTTCTCTTGGTATATGTTATAAATTGGGCTGGATTTGATTCCCGTTTCTAGTTTACCTTTTCATACTTGGCAAAGCCACCCATGACTGCAGGGTCCACAATGCCATTGAGCAGCATGGACAGGGGGTTGATGGGAAGGCTCCAGTCAGCCTGGTACTGGTTAATCATGGTCAGAATCTTCTCATTGGTGGACTCCATGGTCTCTATGGCATTCTCCAATGGAGACAAGGTAGTCTGGGGAAGGAGATAGAGATATAGACAAAGCAGAAGGATGGAGACATTAGTTTAAAACATGTGGAAAGAGGGTAGCAACCAATGAAGATTAAGAAAGATTTAAGATGGGGAACACAAGGAGGCAACAACCCACCCCACAGACTTACATGCTTCAAGTCTGTAGCCTCAAACCAGCGCAGGATCCCTGGTAGCTTGTACACAGTGGTGAAGGTTGTGCGTTCAATCCACATAGACTAAAACAAAAAGATGGAAGGGAGCAAAAAAGCAGTCAGATGAATCTCTGACACTTGTGAATACTCATATTACCATATCTTGTATAACTAGACACACCTGCTGTACGCTGTTATTTACAGCAATACCTGAATCTGATGTTGCATTTCAAGTTGCTCATTTGAAATCTTATCTTATGATTAAAATTCACCCTGCTGCTGAATAAAATCCAATTAGTTTATAGAACAGAAACCTGTTTTTTCAGACTGACAATGCAAGCACGCAGTAGCTCCTGAAATACTTTCATAGTCCCTATGGTCATGAAACTTTTTAAATCTTAAAAAAGCAACTCACAGCAAACTCATTGTTTGGGTCCACGGGTTCTTTCCTTATAGGTCTGGAATAGTGAAAACGCTGCACATAGTTGGACTTGTAGAAGCTGCATTGTGTAAGAAGAGAGAGACAGATGTTAAAGTCAAACAAAAACAATAAAAGAAATAATTTACAAAAGGGAAATGTAACGTCGGAATTGCCAATTCATTTTCAATGTCAGCTTATCATTCGACAGATATTCAAATTAACTTTATGAAAATATAAACCTAACAACACTGACTTAATAATCTGGTCAGGGACAGGCTTGTTCTTCAGGCGAGGTGGGATCTCGAGGACTGGCTGCACAGTGAAACACTGGATATCTGCCTCAGGTCAGTCAGGAAAACAACAGCAGACCATGATGGACAGTATCTGGACAGCAAAGTTTAATTTACAGAAGTACAACAAAAAGGTATCACAAGAATAAAGCAATATTAAGTTTAGAGTCAGACTGAAACTGTCCAGATCTGATGTCTGGGCAGGTTTTTATTGTGTTAGTGGGAAAAAGGTCCCCTGTTCCTCAGTAACTCAAATACTTGTAAGTTCCAAAGGTTCTACAGTGTATGTAAATAACTACAGTATGTACTGTATATATTCTTGTGGATTCCTATACCAGTGTGCCTCTGTTGACCATAGACCATGTAGCATTCATATCGTCTGCTTTGTCCATCTACATATGACCGCACATCTGTGTCTTTCTGTGCTATGCTTCCTGAAGGATACACTGAAGTGGAGAGTTCTTGATATCATCCCCTGGCATAGTGGTAATGTTGAGGCGCACAGCACTGGGAAACTGGCTCATCAGCTGGTTCTGGAAGTCCTCCCTGCGCTCATACTCCTTACCGCGGTGGATAAAGACCTTGTTCTGAAAGCCATGGGAAATTAATTTGTGTTACTAACAATAATGAAAGGATTAAGCCCCAGTTTGCCCAGTAATCCTCAACAGATTATTCTTTGTTATTTTTAACTGCCTTCAACTGGATAGTGAAAACTGCACTAAAGTACAGTACTTGAGCAGATGTACTTAGTCATTTTCTCCTGTGTTTTTGACCCATTATTTCAAAGAAGGGAGGGGGTGTTGTGTGTTTCTACTCCATGGAAATTGTTAATGATCTCATTAAATGTTGACATAAACACAAACCCTGAGGAATGGAGGGTAGCCCTGTCCATAGTAGCCCACTGCAAAGTAGTCTGGCTTAGGCCTCAAGATCTTCATAATGTTCTCATAGAACTTGGCTTGTTTCTCCTGCAGAGAGATACAAAAAAAACAGAGGGTGCGTTCAGATGTGCACAGTGTGCAATCATAGCAGTTTTATCAGCTCGTGACACTGACAGAGCCTCCCTCAGCAGAATGCTGGGCCTTTGAGGGTGATAGATGAAGAAAAACAAGTGCACACAATTTAAAGGCAATATCTGTCATTTATATAACCACATAAATTCAGCATTGGCTGAGAGAGAGCCACTGCTACAGTCATATAAAGAGTGAGAGAGATTTTTCCATTGTTGCAAAAACTGTAATTCTCTGTAGGGAGGGGGAAAGAAGAGTTGAGTAAAGGGGGGCTAGAGGCAAAGGTGGTGCTAAACCACTAGTTAGATGTTTGAGTACAGAGGGAATCACTTCTTCTGTGGTGCCAGATCAAGAGGTGAAAAGACAGAAAGAGGACTGAGAGGACAGTGAGAAGGATTAGGAGGGATTTGAAGTTGCTGATGACTAACAATGAGGAATCACACTTTTGGGGTCATATGCCCAAACAAGTGTTCTTCAAAAAAGATTGATTGACTGTAAAAGGTGACTCTGAAGTGTTAAGGAAGTATATTTTTAACAGGAATGGCTGTGCTAAATTGTTATAAAGTTTGAAAGTGCAGATGTCAAATTTAATGCAAAACTGCTTATTGGGTACAGTATGTTTAGAGGTTAAGAACAATGGCTATGGCTAACAACAACTATGGCTGCATGACTGCAACAGTCTCATCCTTAAATAAAAGCCTGGAGTAAAAGCTTGTGCACTGAATTTAATGTAGCTGAGCAGTTTGCCTAGGTTTAGTTTTACTGTATAAATGCAAAAATATCAATCTAAACGATTTCACCAATGGACATATTTTATTTGCATTATTTAAGTGTTAAATTTACTGTTTCTAGGGGTCACTGCTTAACAGGTGCAATCCACATGAGTTATTTTACCCAGACCCAGGAACAGCTGTAAGAATTATAAAGGGAATTAAGGGGAGAAATGTGAGGTCATGACTATTGTGCTGAAAATATGAAGGTTTGGGATTATCATGTATTACCAGCCTCTTGCTGAGTAGCTCGTAGTCAAAGATCTCGTTTTCGTACTGTTCTGCTAGTTCCTTACACAGAGTGATGGCCTCCTCCCACATCTAAACACACAGATACACACACAAGGAAAAAACAGAAGTGGCCTTTATTACACCATCTACTGAAAACATCAAGCAGCAGCTGTCCTGGTGGGAATTCATCTTATGAAAATCTTGGGGTCCAGGTCTCTGGAGAGGGGTGGAAAATGTCTCTATAAGAGTTTCAGACAACAGAAAGCACGCATGGAGAATACAAAATGAATGTGACACCAACACATCACACAGAGACTATGGCTGCATGATTGCAACAGTCTCATCCTTAAGCGAGTGTTGGAGGAAAAGAGACATTTTCCAGAGTAAAAGCCTGTGCACTGAATAGTAATTTTATCAGTTTGCTTCCCCACAAGTAAAAAAATGTTTCTGCCAAAAGCACTGTGACCTCTTTAGATTAAAAAAAATCTGGATGTTTTATTAATTACCAATAACAAAACTTAATTATCTTAATTCTTAAAGGCAGTTCATTCTCTAAAGGGGAAAAGTATTTCTGTACTTGATTTTGGAGCATTGAGCAACACTTTTTAAGTCATTACATTACTCGGTAAAGGCCTAGATACAGAAAGAGAAGCTTGAGATAGTCTAAAATGCTGCTAACCTTGCCCTTGTCAAAGTAGTCAATGATGGTGTCGTACAGCGTTTCTTTGAGCTGCCTCTGGGTTTGGGAGCCGTGGAACTCAAACTGAGGGCTACACATCTCATCTGACCACTGGAATAAAAACAGAAGGGTGTGGAGAGAAGGACAAAGACAAACACTGCAAAGTATGTGTGAAGGCATATGTCATTTTATCTTGTGTAAACAGAAGAAAGTCACAGCCAGGACCAACTCTGTTTTGATGTCTCATTTATCATTATGTTGAAACATGAGAGGAGAAGTTTTAGAAGCTTGGAACTTTTGGTTGTAATAAATCAATATTAGTCCTAAGCAGAGTGTGCACAAAAACAGCAGCACAATGCTCATTATATAAATGAGAAAATAATTCATCTTCTACTGCAAAAAAAAGAAAAAAAGAAACCGAACAACAGACTTAATGATCTCCAAACAGACCTATCTGCTTAGGATGGTGAGAAATATCATTAGAGAATGCTGATTGTTACAGGCCGCAGTGTGAAACGTGCATGACCTCACATAGAAAAAAAACATTTTCAACATTTTGATATGATGATACTGGACAGAGAGAGGAGGAAAGAGAGCGAGAGATGCCCCTTTTACTCTGTCCCTCTCTGTCAGCCTGTAAGTGTCTCATAAAAGAGATGAAGAGACAAAAGAGGTCAAACATATTCAGCCACATGCATGCGCAGACATTTAAACGCAAATGTGCTCACACATATACGCTCACTGCATAAATCACCATAGTAATTCAGCAGCAATGCCATGCCATAAACTAACCTCGGAGCTTCATCATTCAGAGGCCGGCAACGAAGCAACCATTTATCAGCTAATAAAAACTGTCCCACTCATGGCAGGCAAACTAGTGATGCTGGGTCCAGCAACAAAATATCTCTTCAAGAGTGTACGTACGTGTGTGTGTGTTCTACCTTGAGCAGGCGGGAGTGGAGTAGGAGTGTGTATGCAGCCTCTGTGTAGTTTTCACCCTCAAGGTGAAGGTCTCTCAGCTTGTAAAGGTACCTGAACACACACACATGCACAAACACATTCAGTCATAGGTCCAATTAACTTAATGTGTGATGTATACATTGCTCCACTAGATGCCACTGTTGGGCAACATGAAGACCTGTAAATGAAACATACAGTGTGTCAAGGTCTCACTCACAGGGTCTCTCTCTCTCTCACACACACACACACACACACACACACACACGCACACACACACACACAGTGTTTTCATTCCTTGTGGGGACTTTACATTGACTTACATTCATTCCCTGTAGACTTATGCTACCTTAACCATAACCATTACTTGCCTAACACCCACAGTGTGGGTGCGTTAACAGGTTTTGGTCCTCATAATGTAAGTAATACAAAGGCACACACACCTGTATACATGTACACAATATAGAAATGTCATTTAAAAGCACACATGCTTACAAATATGTAAAGCACAGTTCAACATGTTTTTGTAATGGTCTGACAGATGTTTGTAGCCCATTAATGTTTTATAAACCTGACAAGGAGGGCGATGGGAATACTGGTCTGCTAGTGAACCAATTTGCTCTTTTACTGCCTCGGTTTAAAGTTCTAATCTTTTCTGTGAATGTCTCCATCGGTCTGGAAAAGCAAAACATTTTCCTCCTGGCCAGAGGCTGCACTTTACTGCTAAGGCATTGATGATAATGCAAAAAGCCTTGGTTTCCAGATGTTTTTAAATGAATTGGGCAGTATGGATGGATTCCCTGTATCACTGTCTGGTTTGGCAGCACTACTGCTATGGACCGCAAGCGCCTGCAGAGAGTGGTAAAGACTGTGGAGAAAATCAACAGGACTCCACCGCCCTCTCTGTAGAGCATTTACCACCACAGGGTGCGTAGGAAAGCTGCCTCCATCCTCAAAGATCCCACCCACCCCCAGCACGGACTGTTCACCTCCCTACCCTCTGGCCGGAGGTTCAGAAGTGTGAAGTGTAGGACCACTAGACTGAAAAACTCTTTCTTTCCCTCTGCCATCAGACTCCCTCTTATTATATTCTTATATATTTTATTTGATGTCTTATAAATTTTATTTGCTGATTAAAGTGCCTTCGATTTTGTGTTACTTATTTATCTACTTTATATTTCATTTGTATTTTGTGGCATTCATGTGGACGGCAAAGTAAGAATTTCATTGTACAGGGAAACACGTTTCCTAACTGTGCATATGACAAAATAAACACTTTGAACTTTGAACTTCCCGGGTCTTCTTTTGGCCACCTAAATGTCAAAGTGTCTAACTTCCTCTGTTTCACCTCATCTCATATCCTCTTCCCACATCACTATCCTCTCACCATTAACCAACACATTTCCGGCAGGAGATGCTTTTTCTATCAGTTAAGACAAGCCAGTGTGATTCAACAAAAAAGAAACAAATCTGCACCTCTCACCTACCAGTAATTCCAGAAGGGTTTTGAATATGTAGTGTCTTAACACTGAAAAAGTGACAAACATACTCAGCAAAGCATGACTTTTTCTGGGTCAAATAGCCCTAAAGAGCCTGGAGGGATATTATAGGTTGTTGTCCTGTTGAAAAACAGTTGATGGTCCTACTACTGTATGCACAAACCAGATGGAATGGTGTATGAGCTGAGCTCACATTTACACATACAGATAACTAATTATATCTACACTCTAAGTCATTGTCTGAAATGCACCATCGGACATGACGGGATCTGTGTTTCCCCTCTCTCTCCTGCCACCACCCTGTCTTCTTTCACCTCTCATCCATCACAGTTCTCTTTCTCTCTGCTTTCCCTCCAGTCAAACCAAAAGCTGATCCCGTGGAATTTGACATTAATTCAGTGGGACTCGAATAATCCCTTGTCAGATTATGGAGCCACAAATACACTCACACATGTGCATGTACACACATTTAGACACACATTTACATGCACATACATCACAAGCACCATATAAATGTATATCAAATTCAGCACATACATACCTGATATACATCCCTTCACGATTGATGTCCTTGTAAAAGTTCTACAAATAAAAAAAAGACAGGTTCGAGTCAGAGTGTGTTTGTGAGGTACGTGTGTGTGTGAGTGAGAGAGACAGAGATTTGCAAAATCATTCTGAAGCACCACACTAAGTCTGTAATTTTGTAATTTTACAGTATGTGACTGTGGTCTTTGTGCAGCTGTACAGTATTTGTGCGTGTTATATACTGTACTTCTAATTTCTTGTGTGCATTAATGAGCGGGAGTGTGTGCATGCACATCTGTTATTT